AGAGCTTTTGAAGACCTAACAAATCATATGGTGGTGGCCAATACTATGGAAGACTTTCAAAAAGAACTTGAAGCAGGAAAGGTAAGGCGGTTCCGAATATACTGAAGTCTGAATAAGTGTCTTTCAACATTGTTAAAACAGGACACACATTTTCCTATCCATTACACGCCAGTTGGAGATCAGATGCCTTCACAGCCTAAATAAATGCATTATTACTGTTTGAAAGGGTGCTTGGTGGTTTAATCAAATTTGCTCACACATTGGGAACTTTTCATGTAGAGGTTGGCAGCAAACTGTAACTTTCCCAAATGCTACAATAGTTATGGTTCCCATCTGCTATATTGAAGCACAGTTTTGATTAAAAATTTCCGCACTACTAGTCTTTAAAGTATTATGTTCAGGCATTAGCGGCGACAAGGCCCCTGAGGGCAACTTTATATACCTGTTATCAAATGGCATCATTTATTTAAAATGAGTGTACTGCTTTTTCAGTCAGGAAGTGACCATAGCAGATCTTAATACAGATCTTTTATTCGGATTAAGATAAAATACTATAATTATTCTCCTACAAATAGTTTAAAACAAAAATTTCGGACATCATAACTGCATTCTGGGAGTCCAAAGTACGTACTACTTGCATCAAAGAAAACTTTCTAACCTCATCAGAAGCCATTGAGTGCATTGACAGGTGCCGGGCATCAAGAAATTAAGATTGATCATCAGAATAACTGATAGTGTAACAGGGCTGAGTTATATTAAATTCCCTGATAAGGGCACTAGCATCTTATGAAAAATTTAAGTTTTGGTGGAGCAATTGAAGTCTAGATCAGCGATTAAGACTGTATTTTTAATGTTTAAGAAATATTTTATTCTTCCCTTGAGGTGCACATTGAACTACCATTGATTGACTTAAGGAGATCCTATCCCTGAAGTGCTATTACCCAGATCCCCCAGCATGTGAAAACATTTGAATAAATATTCTTGAAGACTCCATCTAATTAACAAATAAGCTTCCCTATTGGTGAAAGACTGCAACTGAGAAATAATACAAAAGAAAAAATGATTGTTAAAAAAAATGTGGGGTGCCAAGTTGGCTCTACTCTTAAAATGACCATACACTCTTGCTGAACATGTCCTTTAGGGGATAGGTACAGGGCCAGTGGGATTTATGTAGAATAGAAAAAAATAAAATTATTAGCTAATTCATGCATTACTTTTACCGCCATCCACCCCCGATTCTTTTCTCCTGTAATTTGTGTCTCATAAATACATTTGCATATTGTCTTAAATTAGATTGTAAACTCTTCAAAGAGACTGACTCTGTGTGTCAGTACAGGAACAAGCACCTTGATTGGGATATATTTCTGCCCCCAAAACATGGTGGTAAAAAAAAAAAAAAATCTGACTTGCCATCACCCCGAAAGCTAAATATACGTCAAGTTATTTTGGACCTTCTCAAAAAGATTTTTGTGCTCAGCCTGCTGGTTCTGAAGTAACATTTCACTAATGCAAACTCTTTCCAAAGCCGGCTTGGCATACCTGATGTTAGGTAGAAAGGACCTCTTTGTCCTACAAATAATCACGATGATTTTATTATTCATGTTATATTATTATAACATCAATTTATGTTTTTAAAACTACCCTCAGCCTCTGGTGGCCTACAGAACAAAGGAGAGATGTGAAAAACGCAGGCTTTCCCAAAATGTTGGGAGATGTGGGAAACTTAGGATATGTCTAATATACAGCCCTGCAGCAGCATAGCTGTCTAATACAGCTGCAGCACATCTGGTGAAGACACTCTATGCTGATGGGAGAGAGCTCTCCCGTCAGCATAAAAAAAAACTCCACCTCCGCGAGTGGCAGTAGCTATGTCTACAGGAGAAGCTCTCCCGCCAACACAACACTGTGCACATGAACGCTTATGTTGGTGTAATTTATGTTGCTTAGGGGTGGAATATTCACACCCTTCTGTGACATATGTTTTGATGACATAGTCTGTAGTATAGACATAGCCTTAGTTACAAAGTAAGCTCAGGAAAAAATCCATAAAAAGCAAAAATGCAGCTTAAAACAAATATATAAAAACCATAATTGTATCGTGAGCAAACTCTCATTATGGATTAAGGGCTTTCCAGGATCTCCTGACATTTCCTCCCACCTCAAAGCCCCAAATCACAATAACTCTTACTTCTGTGAAGATGATCTGGGAAGGGAGCAATGTCCAACCGTGACCACCCCACCTCCCTACACTTATTCAGAAGCAGATGCTGGAGAGCACCATGAGAAATTACTAACCTAGCTAACTCTGCATCTGCAATAGTACTAGATCATAGATTTGAAACTTGTAAATAAAACATCTAAACTAGTTGCACTTTCTGACATGGAAAATACAGTGTAGTGAACATCTTTGATTTGGATGATGTAAACGTTGGAAAAGTAAACGTTCCACCTCTGAAGTTACAAGCGCTTATCTGAGTACCTGGATCTGAAGAATAAAAGTTTCAGGCACTTCATCTCATGTGTATATATGAATGTTTGTGTCCTTTTTTTGTATATTATTGTACAAAGCAGGTAACTTATATAAAAGTAGTAATTTTTCATGGAAACCCTCTTATTCAAATCTCTCTTCACTACGTTGCATTGACCACAGTCTAAAAGGAGATTTCCCAAGCTAATTTCCCATGTCTTCCTGTATTTGGTGTGATTAACCCCTTAAACCATAAAATCTTTGAGATGTGGACTTCTTTGCTTTTGTGTCTTAAGTAATAACTACATGCAAAGTTTAATGAAAGCTGCATGAACGATCTACAACCACACTTAAACAAAACCCACATTTAGAAAATCAGAAAGATTAATACAAGCACAGATATTAGGCACTAACATTAGACACTTACTAGTCCCTCCTCCAAATTGTAGAAAATGAAAGCTAATAAATATGTATATTTCCCCAAAGACTATATGAGAGTTTTGTCCAAAGAGGAAAAAGTTTCTTGTAGCATCAGACAGCACAACAAATTTATTTAGGCTTCTGGGGGGTGGGAAATAACAGGAGTTTGTGGAGCAAATGTGCACTTAAGACTTTTTGACATTTTAGCAACTCACTTTCAGCTGTTGTCTTTGCCTCGGTTTTCCATAATCTTCTTAAAATAGTCTTCTTGGCTTTACAGTAACACTTCCTAACTTCTACTGTTAAAATACATGAAGTGAAGAAATTGAGTGAAACATCCCTGGAAAACCTAGAACAGTTAGACCTCTGAAACAGAAATTTGCTGTCCGATTAAGTTTAAAAATACTGAACAATTTAAGTGGGCTGAAGTGGTTAAAAATGATTTAACAATATCCTTACTGCCTCTTGTACTGCCTAAGTGCTTAATATCTTGTCTTGTATATCCGATGTTCATTCTTAGTGCTTATGTAAGAAGAAAACATGCTGGTGACAGTTCTCTTTACCTTAATGAAAATACTGAAATGAGTCCCTTCATAATGTTATTCCTCAGAAAATATGAATGTATAGCACTGTTCCTAAAAATTATAATGGGAAACTTCATTGGGAAAGCATTTCTTTAAAGTATGTAAATAGGTGTTGCTCTGTAATCCAATAGTAGGTTTTTTTTTTTTCTTTAAAATAAATAAATAAATACATACATACCCTGGATATCCAGAGCTAGGAGGGGGGAATTTTTTGACACCTTTTCATAGAAGTTAAAATATCTTGTTGCTAAATTTCTAATAAGCTAGCAACCATCACTCTTCAAATTCTATTGTGAGTTTACACTAGAGTTCTACTGCATTTCACTACAAAGGGGCAACTGTCGCCGTATATTTTCAGGATGAAAAAGCTATAAAAACCCTTTTGAGCTGTGTTAATTTTACCTTTGATTGTGGTTATCATTAAGCTGAACCTTTCCTGTTTAGAATGGGGCAGGGAGCTGGACTAGATGACCTCTCCAGGTCCTTTGCAGCCCTACATTTCTTTGATTCTATGAGCTAACTTTGTAAACTGAGTTTTTAGACTGCAGGTAAACTATTCTGCTTTACAATAAAAGGATGTCAGACTTTCAGAAGAACTTTCCACCTGCCAGCTCATTTAGCCATGATTATGCAGCCAGATTGTCAAAAGTGCTCCGCATTCAACCACTCCCACTGTGCTCTTTTGAAAATCTGATTCCTGTTGTGGGAGCTGAGCACTATCAAAAATCTGGTCTTCAATGTCTGAAGTGTTAGACCTATAATGGTAGGGTTTGGGAGTCTCTCCTAAAATAATGCCTGTTTGCTTTCACTGTATAAACTCTGTATCTTTCTTCCATTTCAGATTGTGCAGATTCCCTTTTGTGGGGAAATGGAGTGTGAGGACTGGATCAAGAAAACTACTGCCAGGTAAACGATGTAACTGTTGACTTTAAGAGAACTTAACTAAGAGAACTTAACTTAACTTAACTGTTGACTTTAAGAGAACTTAACTTACCCAACTTGAAAGTTAAATTTCTCTTAGTTATCTGAGTATAAAACAACTTGAAAGTAACGTTTCTTTAGAGCAGTGATACTCAGACCTCAGTGGTTCAGGAGCAGAATCATCATTATCAAAAAGAGCCACAGTAGTTTGAATTCATAGTTTCATTTACTATATTACTATAAATTATTCTCACAGCAAAATGGCTGACCGAGTATTGTTGTTTTATCAACTACAATTGTTTAGAATATAAGAACAGCCATACTGGGTCAGACCAAAGGTCCATCTAGCCCAGTATCCTGTCTTCCAAGAGTGGCCAATTCCAGGTGCTTCAGATGGAATGAACAGAACAGGTAATCATCAAGTGATCCATCCCCTGTCGCCCATTCCCAGCTTCTGGCAAACAAAGGCTAGGGACAGCCTGGTTAATAATGTAGTAAAAACGTCCTGATTGGTTAATAATTAAATCACACAATGTTTTAATATGTGCTGCAAAGACCCACAGGAGGCACATTTAAGAGCCACTTGCGGCTCATGAGCCTCGGTCTGAGTATCACTGCTTTAGAAAGACCCTCCGCATAGGATTCTCACTCTTGGGTCTTATCTTGTACTACAAGACAAGGCATTATTACTCCCTTAGCCCCAAAGTTTTTATCCAATGAAGTACTCATTGTGTGTGAGATTTCTTTTTTGTAAATCTTTTGGGAATTAAGAATATTAATATTAATGTTTTCTATTTCAGGGATCAAGATCTTGAGCCTGGTGCCCCGTCCATGGGAGCAAAAAGTCTCTGCATCCCCTTCAAACCTCTCCGCGAGCTGCAGCGTGGAGCGAAATGTGTCTGTGGCAAGAACCCCGCCAAGTTCTACACCCTGTTTGGTCGTAGTTACTGAGTTACTAGCGAAAACACCTTGTTCCTTATCTCTGAACTCAACTTTTTTCAATAAGACTGAAATCTCCCCAGATCTTATCAGTTTTGTGACTTTTTAAATAATTCAAAAAACAAAGCCATAAGAAACCATAAAAAAACCCAGTCGTCAGTCTTAGACTAGCAGTATTGCTCAGAATTTTCTGTAAACATCTCTAATATTAAATACGTATTGTGAGCTATAGCGTGGTTCTGTCTTTATTTTTGTGTTTTGTGGAAAGATTGCTTGGTTTCTCTTTTGGTTGTGGGGGGTGAGTGTGCTTTCATGTACGCAAAACACAAATTTGTGAGGGAAAAACCTGAAGTGTTGTAGATGATGTAACTAAACCAGGGTAATGGTTAAAAGTATTCTGCACCATGGAGTGTTTGTATATTTTACAGTGATACGGTTTAGTTATAGCAAAGGGCTGCGAGCTAGGAATTCTAAACCATACTTGCCACTAACCTACTAGGTTCCTGGCTTTGAACAAGACACTTAGTTTCTGTTCCTCAATCTCTAAACTGGCGATGTTTACTTGTCTCTCATTGGTATTGCAAGGGTTGACGAATGTTAACCCTTGTAAAGTGCTTTGAAGATGCAATGGTATTGAGTGTTGAATATTTTGTCATGTTTATATTTTGGCAAGTTCCCTCACAAATATCCTGTTTTTTACCTCCATTCCTCTCTCCCATGTATAAGTCCTTTGAATGAAGCAGAGAGGGAGTAACATGGGTCAGAAAAGCCCCCAAACCAGAGTAATTGGATGACGCCCCACCTCCACAGTGTGTTGCTCTGGAGATCACGAAAGCTGCATCTCCAGTCTTAAGTTGGTTGGAGTTCAGTCCTTCGGTGTGACGAGTGGGTGGAGCCAGCGAGATGTTCCCTGCTCTGACACTTCGGAGTGAAAATCCACTTGGCATTTACTGCTTCTCGCACCAGTTTCCTGTGCGCCTTCCCTTCACCATAGGGCTCTGATATATCAGAGGGAGGGAAGGAGGAATTAGCCAATGGCAACATACTTCACAAGAACCATTGTGAGCAGTTCAGATGGCAGAGGCTCAGTGGTCTCGTCCATTGCATTCCTGTGAATCCTTGGCTTCCAAACCCAGCATCCTGGAGGGAGAATCAGACAGAAACTCAGCAAACTTCAACTGGAGTTTTACCCTCCCACAGGCTTGTCTCCTGCATGTGTCTCCTGGGTTCCAAATTGATTGGGGTTATTTCTCATGCATAAAAATGTGAACTCTGGGAATCTTAGATGCAAAACTCACATAGAGCCTTATCCCCAAACTTTTATAGCCGCCTCAGCTTTTCAAAAGGTAGTGAAATGCTATTTTCACTTCATGTGAATCCATGATTTAGTCTTTCATATTCAGAATAACTGAGTAGAATACAATGGCTTTTTTAATGGGAGACCAGCCAGGTTTCTCACTGTATTATTGAACCTCCTAGAAGCACATGTATGTACCAATTACAGTTTCTTCCATACTATTTCAAACAGTGGGAAAATTCTCTTTCAAGTACATCTGACAAGTTCTCAGCTCAAGAGAAAATTGTGCTGATAAAACTTTGAAATCAAGTCCCATGGTTTTGTTTTTTGCAAAATTACAGCAATCAGGAGATGGTGATGGCATGTGCTACTTCATGCATCATTGGGATATGGGGTACTTATTTGTGTTTAAACTTAAAAATGGATTGGCTAGAAATACATATACAGTAAGTAGTTTTCAAGTGAACATGGTAATTGCAATGTCAGATCAAATCAGTGGTACATCTAGTGTAGTATTGTCTCTGATAGTGGTCAGTACCAGGTTTCAGGGCAAGTTTGTTGTTTGGGGCGGGGGGGTTGTGGATAATTGTAGAGTAAACTGCTCAATCAATGGTTGTCTTATGCTCTTTGACGTGTTTGTATCTATCCCGTTTCCAAAATCCCTCCCCCTCTGCAAAAAAAAACCCAACCCTATCTGACATAACTGGATATTCTATGTTGAATCATTTTTACAGTTGCATTTCATCTTGACATATGCAACAATTCATATCTGTTGTCCTTGCAGGAATCTACCCAGTAAGATATAATATGTATTGCTGTAGTGCCCAGAGGCTCCAATTTGAATCAGGAAGTCTCCACTCTTCTAGAATAGATGCATATGAGGACATAGTGCCTGCCACATTATAAAGCTCTAATTATATTTGTTTTAAAACTTGCCATTTGATTATGATACTGGACTCAAACTAACGTATATGGAAACTGGATTTTTAGATCAAATTCTAAATACTGTGTTATACATCCATTAATAGCTTGTCTGGTTAGCACTGTTTCTGCTTTCAACTGTCAGCCTCTGTGGTGGAGCTTAGGCTGAGGTTCTGCCAATTTTTTGAATAGCATGAAAATAAAGCGCCTAAGAGCAGAATATAAAATTGATATACATGGGATTAGTGGGAGAGAAAATACTATCTTTTCAAATCCAGAAAAGAGGAGGATCAGGTATCACATCAGACTGCAATATAGGACACTACTTATTGGCAATTGAAACCTATTCACAAAGCATAGAATTTTTTGGCTGAGATCAAAGCAATTTCTCTTTTGTGACTGGATCAATGAGGCATAGGAATATAGAAGAATCATCCCTGGTAGCACCTTTTATTTCTCCTGGCACCAAAGATTTCTAGGGATGAATCCTCTTTATGTCCAACCTTTTCTGTTAAACTAGTGTAACTTGTTAGACTGGTTGCTGTGGAGACACGAGTAATGACGACTCCGCTGAGGTTGAGTGTTTTGCATTATAGGTGTCCTTAGATGCCCTAGCGAATTGACTTTTCTCATCCTCCCATCAATTTGGTATCAGGGGCGAAATTGTTATCCCCACTCTGGCCACTCGATGCTGGGTAAAGGTGCTGAAGAAGCATAAAGGGCAGAGCTCTAAAAGTACTGGAGAATCCCCCCAATATAGGAACAGTGGAAGAAGCTACAGTTTATCTTCCAAGGACTTTCAGAAATCCCGGGGGTGGAGAGGGGGGTGCCAGAGGTGGGGATGGGGATTGGAAGGGCATGTTAGCAGTGGAACCAAAGTGCACAACCTTGCAGAGATTGAGAAGCACAGCTGCCCATAACCATCAGGTGACAAGTGAGACAGAAGAACAACACAGGAAAGATCAAATATAGCAAAAGTTATATTAGTAAGGGCGTGTACCAGCAAGTTGCTGAACATCCTCAGCTCCTGCTGAAGTGCCCCAGGGTATCGGCCCTAAAGATTCGTTCAAATGTTAGAAGATGTTCTAAAATATGGAAGCTGCATCCGGGTTGCCTTTCCTTGGTTCTGCCCACCGTTTTTAGTGATCTCATAGATGTGAAACAGCTTATCAATTATTTTGATTAAAGGGGGAGCATGCATTCAGTTATTTTGATCAGAGATGAGAATAAACAAAATACGTTGAAGGCATTGTTCTTGGAGCTGAGCTGCTCTCAATCTGCCATAGGTTTGCTATGAAAACATAATGAGTCAGGAAGAACCCAGTCTTTTTCACAAGAGTCGGTTTTCGTGCACTTCTTTCTTCCCAATTATAGCAGCGTTTGAAGTGATGACTTCTCTGCAGTGCTCATCACTGACGGAAGGGGAGAGAGGGTCTTCTTCCGTACTGCAGAAACAAAGTTGTACATCTGGAAGCACCACTTGAACTCTTCTGTAACACTTTATGGAGAGACCGTTCCCGTCCTCTTAGTATGAATTTGACACACCACTGGCATGCAAATCTGCAAACTCTTCTACCTTTTAAAAATGGTAAATCCGGACACATTGTAAAGAATAACCAGAAACAAGAGATCCCACTAAGGCCAATGAAATGACATTGTCTTCCATTATAATGGAATTTCTGATCACTTAAGAAAACTGAAGCAACCCTAGCCATAGACAATCAGTACAATACTGTAGTGGGTTGATGAGAGAAATACTGTAATATCTGTGTATCACCCATCACCTACTGGACAGAATCAAAAAACTTGGCTGTCATAGGATCTAATTTGCTATCTGCGGCTGGAGAGATGCCTTTAATTCAAGGGGCTGCTTCTGGGGTAGGTGGATCTGAGTCCTATCCTGA